TTTTGCTTGTGGCGAGGTGTCGAGCCTTGCCGCTATCCTGGATGCTCCTCTTGTTCCCTCGTTTTCCATCCACTCTTCGGGAAAATCCGGCGTGTAAGCTGAAAGAAGATATTTCGAATCGTCTTTAAGTGTCTCGTTGAATAAACGATGAAGATAATGGCCAGTGAAATATTAGTTTTGTGGGTTAATTAGTTGGAGTACAGGATGGATAGATGGAATGAATATTTTTTATCACGAAGTGAGCATAGAAAAAGTTACTAGACAAACTAATCTCCTATTCATATATTTTGAATGCTTTCGAAGTTTGACTCCATAATACATCGGAAATATTTTATTTTCTATGTCGTTTTATCATAAATATATAATCTCCAACTTAATTAACATGAATCAAACAAACGATACTACATTTAAATATGACCACTAACAGTACTATGCCATTTTAAGTTGCATCAATAGAACGAGATAATATGACAAAAACAAGAGTAGTCGTATTTAAGATACAACAGACACGGTAACCATTCGGAAGCCACGGGAATCATACGAATTTTCCATACTTCCCATTGCCTTAAAACGGATCTGGCATCCCTTTGACTTGCGGTCGGTCAGTCGGAAAATTCGCTGAATGGAATTATTCTCTATCGAGCACGCGACAAACTTCATCCCTTGCACACGATGCTCGGCTGAGTGCGTCAACGAAAAGGAGAGAAGCCCACCACCGCGTTATGCGAATCGTACTCGGCATCGCAGGCATCCAAGGGAGACGTGGTTTTGGCATGCAGATTCGATCCGGACCTGTCTATCGTCCACCACCCCTTGCATTCTCCTCGTAACCCTCTACGGACCTCATTCTTCTCGCGACCGCCCCTTGTACGCAAGGTGTCTTGCTTTTCGATAAAGAAAAAAAATATACTCACTTCTTTCATACGTATAATCTCGTTTATAAGTATTAGGACATATCCTGATTTTATACGAGACGATAATTAGAAATTATTCAATTAAAAATTATCCTATTATAGATTCCCCATTATTAGACATTTCCCATAATAGGACATTTAGTTTTTTTATTTTCGATGAAAATTTAAATCGATTAACGAGAGAACGATTGATCCATCAAAATTTAATTTGATTCTTAAGGGAACGATTAATCAAGCAAAATCTGTTATTCATACAAGATAACGACTTAAGAACCTATAAAACTTATTTACAAAAAAGGTAAGAGAGAAACATAACGAATAAGAGTTGCACGTTCTTTTCCATAATCTTATAATCTGGACTGAAACAATTTTAAATAAATTACAAATCGCAAACCACCACAAACATCCTTCACGCTAAGCCCACAGAAAGCATTGAAAAAATAAATGAATCAAAACCGTCAACAATTAATCCCCGCCTTCCATCCGCGTTCCCTAAACCATCGTGTCGAATGCGGCGAAGACAGAGAGCGAGCGAAAGAACAACGCGGGAAAAATGCTTGAATCCGGTTGGCGAATCCGAGCGATGTAATTTTTCAATGTAACACAAGCCGGCCCTGTTCCGGGGACATTGCGTTCTTATTTCAATAGCTTTGTTCGTGTCGCCCGTTTTTTCAGCATTGTTCCCACCCCCTCCCTCTTGTATATTTCGCGCGCGTGGTGTACATGCATGCGCGAAACCCGAAGCCGATTGTATAAAATAACATAAAATGTATGTCGTGCATCGAACGAACAATTCGTCGGCGACAAAACCGGGTATTGTCTCGACGAGCATTATGTCGCGTTTGTCGTACGGTATTCACCGCGTCGACGTTGGCGGCGCGTCGACGAAACGCACCCTTCCATCTTACACGTTGCTCTTACCCTCGCATCCCCCTCCGCCCAAGATTCATTTACCGCAAAACAGAATCACAGGGAACAATGCATCGTCGCGTTATCACGGGGCCCCGGTGTTAACGCAAACGAACCCATTTTCGTTGAACAAAATGTTCCAAGGAGAATGGGCGCACACATTCGGTAGCGAAGAATCGTCGAACAATCGCGATGGAGGAAAAGAAACCCCGAGACTGAACTGCCTTTCCTCTTGGCCCTTTTCCTTTCCTTATTTCCATATACATCGCGTTGGTACGATGTGCCAAAGGCTTGTCTTCGTCCCGTCGCTTTCATCCCTTTAGCGGCTAAAGTTCAGCCTTCATTCCCATTACGTTGCTTCCGTGCGGTGGAACGCCGAGCTTGATGTATGGCTTTATAAACGTCTGATTTACATATTTTCCGGATTTAAATGGCACCATCGTAGCTGACGACGAAAACTGGCACGTGCATAGCGTTTCGCTTTAGCTAGGTAGGTCTCGGGAGACGCGTAATTATCATTATCCCTGACTCCGACTATCGTCTCTGTCATTTATCCTGGAAAGGGAAACTTTCTTCCATCTCTGGTACTTCTGAGTTCGTCTTCTCCACGTTTTCCATGCTCGAGCTTTGTAGCGATGTATTTAAGACGCAAGACTGGCAAGAGAATTTTCGGAGAATTTCTCTAATTATCCTGTAATTATCCTTTGCCGCCTTGCTCACCATTGTTCAGCCATTCTCGCGGCGCATTCGAAGAACTGAGGGAAGAATGTTGTTCTTGAGATGCTTATTTTCAGTATTTGATCTCTACTTTGGAATAATTGTTCGGCCTGCGTAATCAATATATTTTTCTTTAGAACAGAGATTATGAAAACACGTAAAACCTCACAGTTTATATTATCTTTACTTGTGATTATGCTGTTATAATTATAAATTATGCTTTTATCTTCCAACCTTTTATGAATTTCCTATTAGGATCCCAAGACATCCCTCACATTTCTAACCTAATCTAATATAATCTGACAGAATCTCATCTCAATCATTGCTTGCTTCTTTCATAAAACAAACTCTTCCTTTTATACTGCCATAAGTAGATCATTTAAATTTTTAAATCAGAAATAGGAATTGTAATTCTTGAAAAATAATATTTCGACTTCTCTTACTCATTATTTTACCAAAAAGCATCACTAAAATTCTCTCTGTCTCGTAAGCAAGGAGAAGAAAAGATTCATAAAACTTCTAACAACAAGCAACTCAATATCCAAGAATTTCTATCTTACCGTACTTTTCCAGCGTCCTTTCTATTCCCGAAATTACGGTTAAAGCCACTCGATTAAGCTATTTACGAGGCACTGCGGACTAGAGCGCGATTTTTCTCGAAGAGAACGCTCAATTCGCGTCGTACTATCCCCGCCAGCGAGTCGACGAGCGGAAAGTTGTAGCGGCTCGTTCGCATAACGACCGACAGAAGCTCTTCGAGATTCGAGGATCCCAGCTTCCGGATCATTTCCGTGAGTTAACAGCGAACGAGTGGTTCGGCTTGCGAGAGGTCCAAGTTGGCTTTCAGCCCTGCATACCTTTCAGCCGGACAAACGGACTGAAACTGTTTCCACGACTTACGCGTATCCTCCACGGGAAGTTTGTTGAAAATTGCATCCATTGTAGCGACAAGTTTCTCGGTACCTTATTTTTTTATAGACTCGATGCGAGGGACTCGACTGTTTGATGATTCCGTCTATGTTGGCGGCTTCTCGAAATAAAATAGGGCAGAATTTTGTTAGCGGAAATTTGTTATTTGAATTATTCGGAGCTTCTTGGCTACGCGGCGAAACGTGTTTTCTGTTTTCTTAATGCTGCCAAAAGGTTTTAGTTGCGAAGATCGGCTCTATTGACGATTAAAATGTAAAAGTTGTATGTAAGAGGTAAAGATCGGCAGAAATCATTCAAATCTATAAAAATACATAAATAGAATTTTATGAAAAATTATGATACGTTTTATATAGGTATACACTTTTTATGAAAAGTTATGAATTGGTCGTTCTCTCGTACTAAAAAGTTAATCGAAATTACCATATTTTATAGAAAAACAAATTTTTGTAATTATTTAATTAGATGACGGAATTGAAACATTATTGTAAATATTGTTATTTATTGTGTGATAATTATAAGCATGTAATTATGTTATTACTAATGTTGCATCATTGTTGGAAATATAATTAAAGTTGTTGTGTCATAAATTGAAATGCAATTGTAAACACGATAATGAGTAGTAGGACAAAGTGTTCACCAAAGATAATTACATGTTAATTTTCGACTCATTCAATGGATCGACTCTATCAGTGACCATGCATGGAAACTAAAAACTCGCTTCTTTTTATTCGATTCTAATTAAAATTCTCCGAAGCAACGAGCCAACAATAAACATATTGCTACTTCTCTCTCATTCATGTGTCCAAGCTATTTCCAATTAATCGAAAATAGATTTCTTATTGCTACTACACTGGAATGGATTCAAAATTAACTTCACAACTTTCTTAAACTTCACTGCAATTTATTCTTTTGTTTATAGCTAAATTAATTTGTTTGAAGTTTATTAAAAATATTTTAAACGAAATAATATTGTTAATTACAATATTTTTCCAATAACAGCGTTGCAAATTGCCTCACTATTACGATTGACTTTTCCTTTTGTTTCACATCTCGCAATTAGTTTACCATGATATTAAAAATTCTCCTCTTCTGGTCGAACCATCTATTGTCTTGTTCTGAAAGTCTCATATATTTGTTCATTATCATTAATTATTTTTCATTGTGTTTATTAAATACTCTATTCTATATAGAACCATCCATCTTCCGTGAATTCTCTGACAGCCTTGTATACTGTATACTAACTCGATACGAACGTATCTTACATGATTATTACAATACTAATTACAAGAATTCAATAGTTACATATTCACTGTCCAATTAAGAGTGTTCCCTGATATATTTCCTTAATTATCACAGTCCTTTAAGTATTTTGTATTATAAAGATATTGAAAAATGATCTCACATAAAGGATATATAGCAAATCCAGAAACAGAACTACACCAAAAAAAACACTTCATAATTCATTCCATCAGTCTTTCGCTTATAATTACAATATTCAAATTTCCACTTATTAATTTTTATTTACTCCATTAATTTTTATTTTTTACAAATTTCTGCAATTCACATGAAACCTCCCGCTACTTATTTTAACTACACTATCGAAACTATTTTTTCCATTTGATATCATTCCTAAAAAGAACGCGACACATTTCGCCAGTGATTCCAGAGCCGCAAGGGTCGTTTGGAAGTAAGTCGACGCGCGCAACGATTTATGTCGGTTGTCGTAGATATAGCTCGCGATGGGACTAGGCATAAAAGTCCTGGAGCAGGACCCGGCACGCTGTGCCGAGGATTAGGAGCTGCGTGAATGGGAGAAAATGCGAATTGATACGGTCGTTAAGAAGAATCTTCTTTGAACCGTAGATCCGTATAAAAGCACGCGTGCTAAGCAACAGAATGTTCAGAGTGGGACCACTTCGATCCTTTATTTATTTCCTTTATATTCTTTCTAGCGTATTTTCGTCTTTAGAACGTTACCGTTGTACAATTTATCCCTCGATGTACTAATGTGCATCTATTTTACGCATATTCGGCACAGGTGAATCTACCGATAAGGAATTTCGTTATTTTCTCTTGTTAGTAATTCTATCTTATATATTTTCCATGGGTACACAGACCAAGAAACTTATTAAGAAACTACTGACACAAAGAATACTTTTTTAAATACTCATATATCTAATACCTACATTAATGATACAGGTATTTATCATACAATTACGAAATAAAAATGGTACGAAAATTCTACCAGTGTATCCAAAAAACTCACTGATTTGGATCGTGTTTGGAATCTGTCTGCAGGTTTTCTACCTATTGCATGACAGATATAAATAGATCAAACGTGCCAAATCAAACCAATAGCATCGAATATCTCCGCAATTACTCACCAGGCACAACTTCAGACAAACGAAAGATCAGTCTACCCCAATTTCAAAAACTTATCGGTCAAACCAAACAGAGATCGCAAATACGAAATCAAGCTGCTGTGCATCTTCCGTAAAATGGAGGATAGTGAAAGGGGGTGGGTGGAAGAAGAAAGGTGGAGTGCGGGACAGAGGAGAAAAGAAAAGAAAGAACGCTGAGAAAGGAGAGAAAAGAAAGAAAGGAACGGTGGGGGAATAGGAAAGGAAACAAACTCAGAAAGCTATTCAGACTCGGTTTATTCTCGTTCGTCTCGGCGGAGTGCATAATGCTCCGTGTTCCGCGTTTTCTTGCGAGGCGCGGCCATTATGAGCGGACGAAACAAAGAAAGAGCATATCTATTATGCTGGCCGAGTTGCCGCCGCGACGCCGCCGCTAGGATTAATCCGTTCTGTGTCATTATATAATGTAACGCCGACGACGCCGCCGTTACGCGTCTTTCTCCCTTTCTTCTCTCTTTCTCGCTATTCGCCGTTTGTCTTCGACTCTGTCTTCGTTTCCGCTTATGTACCTGATACACCGTGTACGCTAACTGCGCTCATTGTCGACTTATACTGGCGCGATTACATTCATCCGGATCGGACTCGATGTATGACCGCGTTCCCTGGAACCGAAGAAAGCCAGAAATGGGAGACGGTATCGACGTTTGACGTCGCGACGCCGACGAACGATTAGTCGCTGAACTGGCATTGGTTTTGTATGTAGCGTATGTTCGCTGATGTAATTGGTTTGGGATTGTTGGATTGATGGAGCTATACTTTATGTTAGATATTTTATTGTCTATCTATTAATTATATAGTATGACGATAGTAGAAGTGTTCTTAATAAAACAGAATACAGAGTAGGAATGATAAAACAAAAAGGAATGTGGTATATAATAAGTGATTATAGCATGAGCTATTTAAGATATCAAAGTGATCAATTCTATTGATACCAATTGTCTGATCCCTAAAAGATGAAATACTAGTCATATATTCTACTAACTTCTACTTCTCAATAAGCATAAATAGGAACGTATTAAAAAATTGATACCATTTTTTATTCCCCCAGCTGCAAATAGTCGGAGCGCACATGCGTAATTGGTAATCGAAGTCTCTTCGACGACGTCATGCCGGTAAACGATGTTTTTCCGGAAGACCGGTTGCAGGAACCAGCGAGTCTGTCTTCTTTTTGTCATGGCTGAAACAACCAGATAGATCATTAATTATATTGACGTGCCGTGACCTTTTTTTTTCGTGGCCGATTTTCTAGAAAGGATGCCGCGTATCGCAGAATCATGCGGAATCGACGTTTCCTATCCTCCTGACCCCTTGACAAATTATTCTGCATGAAATGACGTAATCTACGATAACTATAATTTAGAACAATATAATACTAGCCTCATTCATGAAATTTTAATACAAATTCCAAATTTTTAATGATTATTAAATACAGTTTCAACTGAAAAGGAATTACATACATATTTGCGATGTACATTTATTTCCACTTACAAAAACACGAATTTACATGAACAGTCTACATATTAGTAAGCAGTATAAGAATCAGAAATAGAAGACGCCAAACTTCAGCATCTTTCGGATATCCAGAGCACCTTAAATACCTCCACCGATAGAGCACTTTAGTTACGCTTCCAAATAGTCCTGCGTCTGCCCTCCGTTTCCGGAAACAGGGAGCAGCTCAGTGTACCAAAAAGAAGAGAAGCTTGCTTCGTAACGTACATAATGAAACTACAAAAACACCCGAAAACTTCTGGGGAGGCAGAAGAACCTGACGCCTGAAAAATTCGAACACCAGTTACGCCTCCTAAAAAGTCCACCCCCGCGGCACCTTTGCTCGTGCACACGCTCAACTTGCTGGTGAGCGAGCGCGCACAACCGGCTGGTTGGTTTACAGACAGCGGGACGAGAGAGTGGAATAGGAAGGGCAGGGTTGAAGGAGAGCAAGACGTAGAGAAACGGGGGAAGACACAACAGAAAGGGTAAGAGATACTCTAAAAGCAAGACAGAGAGAGAAATAGAAGAAACTGGAGGGAGAGAGAAAGAGGCTGTTTACAGGGTGAGTTGATACAACATTAACAACAAGTCGTTAGAGAGATGAGGTACACACGGTGGGGTTGCTGGATCGGTTGTTGGGTGGCTAAGAGGGGGGCGGGAACGGTGGCGCTGTAGTCGCTGGCAGGA